AAGAACAGAGGATCACCGTTTACTTGAAATGAAAGTCTCTCTACCAAAATGCTCCTCCGCTGGTCCTCTCCTGCACTACCAAGTCAAAGAGCGTCAAACCAGCAGTAAAATCCTGAATTTGAATTGGAAAGCTGGTAAATATGGACTATGGGCAATATTAGCATATCGCGCTTTTGCCAACATTAACAAGCATTGCTAATTTGGTCAAAAATTATTCGCGATGCATCTATCTTAAAATGTTTTTTTTTCATTATTATAAACATCTCAAACACCATAGTGCAAGAGTTAGCAACAAAACTGATTTTTCGGAAAAATATTGTCCGAACTGTTAGAAAATTAGGCCTTAAGTTCGGCCTGTGCCACTTTTTGCAATTTTCTATTTGGCAAATTGGCTTGGATCCTGTATTTTCAAAGAATTTTTAAGCCAATCAACCCGTGTCACTTAATCACTTTTTGTATTTGATCGAAATTGACTCTGAACAACATATTTTGTGACCGAATCGGAGCTAGAAAACAAATCATCCACGCGCACCATGGAGCGGGTTGTTTATCTGCAGTCTGGCGCAGAATTCTGGCCACTTTTAGCTTCTGAAATTATCTTCCTGAGACGAGTCTCTTCTAGGTCAAACAACAAAAAACGCTCTGTTAAGCAAAATATAACAGGATTACGGATTAAATCAATGTTTAAAATTCATAATCTACAATTTCTTTGATGTTGTGCTGACAAATCGATGAAAAATTCTTCAGTCCAGCTTTTTGGCTAACAAAACTACAAGCAAATACTTAAGTAAACGAAGTTAGCCATGTTTCTACAAGCTCGCCTTTCTCAAAGTTGACATTGGTTTCAAAATTTCGTTTGTAATTGTTACCGGCACATGTCTTGCCTTGACGGAATTTCAAAGGAAGGGGAAATCTGTTGCTGCATTGCCAAGCAAGGCCGTGTGTGCAGTTTGTTAAAAATGGCGGTTATTGTTACCCGCCGCTTCGTCTGATGATACTTGGAACAGACCATTGAGTCCTGGATTTTTTTATCAATGGTATTGTCGAGGGCCTGTTTACCCGTGTGTTGCAATTTATAAGAGGAGCTCTAGAGTACGTCCTGATGTTTCAAAATGGCTGCTCCGAAACGCAGATACATCGTGAAATACAATTATTCTCTAAGGTAATGAATTTCTGTTTGCACTCAGGTCGAGGTTGTAAGATTTGCCTTGACTAGCCTTGTCGGTTTTGATAACACATTGTTCTTGCAATTGTTTCTCTTTTGATAAGCATTGAAAACGTAGATAGGTAGCCCTTGCCAAAGCCAACAAACAAAGAGACCAGAGTTTTGATATAAAAGCAGTTGCATTTGTATCACACAAAGATAACAAAACATAGAAAATATAACATTATATAGTTAGGTTTACAATATAAGGTGCTTCAATATCGAAAACTGCTTTCATAATCCTTTAAAAATGGCTATTAATCTCATCAACATGGTGAAAAAGTCACCTTTATCCGGCTTTTACATTGTCACCACTGTTGATTACGTACTGAATAACTTTGTTGTATATCCGTAAGAGAGAATTTCACAATGATTAGCCTTAATTAGTATCTGTATGTCCTATTTTTTGTGTGCTTTTTACTTAAATGGAGATTCATCAACCGTATTTTGTGTCGATCAGTTCTTAGACAAAAATCGTATCGCGGACGCACACAATAGCAAGATTTATAGGGGGTCACGTGTCCGTTGCTTGGAGGTGTCAGTTGTTCAGGTGTGTCCACTGTTTGTAGGGTGTTTGTAGGGTGGTTTGAGATATCTGTTGTTGCCAGATGTCCGTTTTTGGAGGTTTCAATGTACAACATGAACATTGGTTCAATGTACGTTGTGATCTATTTTAGTTGAAAGCACCTTGTAGAATCAATAAACTCAATAAATGAAAACACTATCTGAAACGTAATAGAACACCTGTCCACATTATTAGCTTTCTGGATCACAGTTGTTGACTTAACTCTCTTCAAAATACACTTGGTTTCAAATTTTCAGCGAAATGCATTCAATCAATACAGACAGCTTCTGGTTTCCACGTTTCCACGCATATTCGTTGTTTTTCAAATGTGTCACTATGAAGGAGCAAACGTCACTTCTTTGAATTATTCCTTAGACTTTTAAGAGTCACCAGCGCAAAATTTCAACCCACGAAAATTGCAAAAAAATTTTGGTCATATGAAGTAGGGACAAAAGTTCTACCGAAAAATTATTTTACATGCTTTATATCACATACCTGTTGCGAAAATCAAGCGTATTATGTATTCCCAAATATATCTGATATTTCTGGCTTTTAATTGCCGATTGTTTCCTTGGTCAAACGTCAGGACCTAGCCTCTTAAAAATCATTCTGTTTGTCCCATATTGTCGAGTGTCATAAATGTTTATGGAGAGCTGCTTTGGATACAAAACACTGCAATTTTGATATGCTAAATTGCTTGCCATTTTAATCAAATATCTCCCCTTGTCTCTATGTTTGTTTAATTTTCACGTATGCCCGATGAAGCATATTCTGTTAATTAACTCCTTTAGTATTTAGCTGTTGAAATTTCATTTTGATCACAACATTAGCTATTGTTTACGAAAAGCGAACATTTCNCAAACAAAGGACAAGTCATTTTGTCCCGGTAGTGCACCCTTATTTGGTACGTTACTTAGTATAGAACAAAGATTAAAAATATTCTTGCAGTGATGTAAAACCAAACGAAACTCTCATGGGTTTCAACGATATAAACTACTTTGTCTTTCTATACACTAGCTTTCTAACAAAGCTCGGGATTAGCACTCTGTGTCTTAATTTTTTGTCAATTTTAGTGCCAGACATTTCTGTAAGGTTTCTTCAATACCAAATGCTCAGTAGCTACAGTTCAGAAACGCAACAGCACAATACAAGGTAATATGAAAAAGAACACCTAACAAGTCACAAGGTGCCTTGCATTTTCTATTTATCTGTGTCAATTTAACAGAAAATAGGCGCCGTATCCCATCGGTATTGTATTGTATTGTATTGTATTGTATTGTATTGTATTGTATTGTATTGTATTCTATTGTATTGTGTTGTATTGTATTGTATTCTATTGTATTGTATTGTGTTGTATTGTATTGTATAGAAAGATTTCGAGCAGTTTCTTATAAGGGTTGAGGGTGATAAGTTCTATGGTTTCCTAATATTTTGGTCATCAAAGGACTCGGTTTCTTATGTCAATGCATAACTATTAGCATTATGTGCAAAACTTGCATTTTATATCCAGCATTAAAAAATTCACTACCAAACAGTTTCATGATATAAAGAAAATAAACGAAAATGAATACCAAAGCTCATTAGTGGTGATAATCCAGTCTTTAACACAAGCAAATGATGAAGGTTTTTATTAGCTCTCTTTAGTCACGAACCAAGGTTACTTTGCAGCTTTCTGTAAACACTTCTACTAAAAGATGAGTGAATCGTCAAAGTTGTCACTTCTCTCTTGGTGTGGTGCAAGGCAAACAAGCAAACATTGGAAATAATTCTCGTTTTGATAATCATTTGACTTTGATTAAAGTTTGAGAGCTTCTGTCACTCAACCAAATTCCTTAAAAGAATGCACTTATCCGACAATAAAAAGATTCCTTTAAATTTTCAGAAACAAGCAAAGGATACAAAGATGAATAGAGAGTGCAGGAACAAACAAAATTTGCAGTATTGAAAAGCGATGTTTGAATAAATTAATTTGCTAAAATCCAATGCAATTGGAAAGGAGAAAAAAGCGATCACGAAAGCCTTTTGCCTACCTCTCAGTGAGCAGTGGATTTTTTGGTTCTCGTGACATCCAGGTCCGCCGAGAGAGAGGGGCAAGGGGGCAATTTGCCACAGGGCTTCAAGGTCTAGGGAGCCTCATTATTTTTAATTGATAGTTCTTCTGTTGATACTTCAACGTTAATTCTTTTTTTTAATCCGTGTTTTATTTATTTTTCTCCCACATCTTATTTTGGGTACTTTTAAAATCGAAAAAAGGTTTCATTACGAGCTATATGATAGTGGTTATTCTAAAACTTTGCGAAACTTTTCTATCTCAAGTCAACATCACAATAGACGCGACTATGTGACACCTTCAGTCAAAATTCGTTTTAGATACAGTTTCTGGCCATCCCTAAGACACCATAATTCTAAAATTGTTCTTGCTGCCAACCATGGTGGCGGCCCCCTTTCAAGACTCTGATATTTTAGCCTCCACTTTCAAATATGTTTCGCCGGCCCTGTAACATCAACAATAAAAAGAATCCAGAGAGGGAGACTCATGGTATACACAGGGGTTACTAAAAATAAGCAGAATTGGTTAATAAATCTGATTCTGAAGTCTTTACACACAAGTCTGTTTCTAAAGCCGCGAGGACTACAGTACCAATCTTTTCTTGAAAAGGTTCCTTGACAAGTGTCCTTGTCACATAAGGACACAAATATGAAAATATAGATTCACCCAGCGGGAACATTTGTATCATAGCAACAGCCCTGTATCCAGGGTCGTGGCTATAGGGGGCGTATGGGGTGTGACAGCCTCCTTGGAAGAATTCCGTTGCAAAAAAGGACTTTTTGGCAATCCATGTGGTCGGAACATTTTTATAATTTTCGGCAAATGAATGATGACTTGCCTACTTTGTAAGCCAATAGGACCTAGATATCGGCCTCTTGGGCTAAATAGCTAGTAACAACCCAGGCCTGAATCATCATTTCGACAATCTCGGTTATCATCCTTGATAATCTTATACGACCTATTCTTAAAAGAAGAAAAAGTTTATTTGTTCAAAATAATGAATGCACTGGTTCTAGTAAGTCAGTCAGTCAGTTCACTTGATTGACTCAATCCAAACAAGCAAAAAAAGTAAACAAGATATAAAAAAAATTGGTTGTTTATGAGACTTCCACTAACACCGTGGCCTAAAAAAGAAATTTTTTAATTACCAAAATTTGGAGTAAATTCAATTGACAATCTCAGTTGCATACAGATCAAGTAAGTGAGCGATGAACAAGTATTCACAATCACCTTGATCGGATAAACTTTTAAATCTTCTATCTGCGTGTTCTGCTACGTCTTACGACAAATGCGACTTAAATCAATTAATAGCTACAACTTGTAACTTGCAAAGCTACTTACAACACAACGAATTCCATATTTGAGTCTTGTAAATCTAGAATGTGGCGCGTCTAACTTGAGACAAATCAGATCTTTTCCAATAACGTTAGCAAAAGAAATCAATCAGAAGTAAAAAAGACGTCTAATTCGTGAAAAAAACAGTGACAGTTTTTAAAAGCCACACCCGCGAATTATGTAGAGTTAAATTCAGCCTTTTGTCGGCCTCGGGCACACCCTCTTATAAATACCTGGCTGTCTCGCCTTTTTATTCAAACGGAGATTTAGAAAGTTATTCACTTATTCGTGGAATGAAAACAGCTTTACTCTTCACAAAAATCAGATAACGCCGATTTCTTTGATTGCTTGAATGAAGTATTTTGTAAGCAAACAAAGAATAACAGCTACGGTTGACTCTGCATCCAGTTTCCTCAGTATTAAAACCGCTAAAAAGAAACTTTTGATCATTTTTCAAAAACTGAGATTGCAATAGTTCCCATAAGACAAAGATAGAAAGGTGTCAAAAGGGAATTATTTTCTTCTTTAGAGACTGTTTCTAGGAAACAAAATTATTACTTTACATGTTGTCATAGGAGCTAGAAACTAGAGTTAAGAAAATTTGATGGTGAGTAGCTGTGTAAAGGCTGTTGACGTCATCTAAGATTGAACAGCAGTAATTGATGCTTGAGCTGGAGTCTCAAACGATACATAGGTGAATGAACAAAAGAAAATAGTAAGGTAAGACAATAGATTGTCAGCATGAAGAACCTCCTATGCTGACAAGTATGATTCTCGCAAAAATCTGAAGGCGCACTGAAGACCCAAATGGATTTATTACAGAATGCATTATAATATTTCTAGTGAAAAATTATTTTCATGAAAAAAGGTAGGATATGATAAAATCCTGTCCTTATACCATCTCGTAGGGGAATTCAATCGCTGTATAAAGAGCGTGTTTCAAAGCTTTTTCACTCTTTTGAAGTTTACTTTTAGGTTTAAATTTTCAGTTGAATACATGATTTATCATGGACCAAAATCATTTCTTGTAGAAATTTGCATGTCAGGGTGGGGGATTATTCGAGGATGGGGGCTTAAAAACATTTTTCGTTTCCAGGGTGAGAGCTAATTCGAGGGGGCTAATAGGAGGAATTTCATATAAACTCTGTTTGTCAGCCTGCAAAGTCTCAGAGCACAGGGTCGGCTGCAGTGCTTCCCAACGTTAAAATTACGATAAAATTGAAATATTTTTTTCGCACCAATATAAACTTGCGTGACTTATGATTACTTATGCTAATTGGCTCTTTTTCTAGAACATATCTACACTCCAAGGTAGTTAAGGCCGCTGTTTGCTGGGTGATTAGTTATACAAATTTCTTGTAGTAAACAGGGAGCCAGATGAGCAGGCTTAAAATAGGAATGGATAACGAGTCTAGCGATGGAATTACTTTCTAACAATTGACATCTTTACGAAAAAGACATTTCAATTCATATTAGTTAGAACCAAGAATAGCAAGATTTCACAGGCATTTAGATTTCCTAACAAGACATATCATTAAAAATACCGGCTAACTATAAGGGTAACGATGAATGAGTATCCCTATTCACATTATTCCCCTTTACAAAGCTCCGAAAACTGAAGCAAAACCTCTTTGGTTTCCGGAAAACTAAATTACTCCTCTTGAGAAGCAAAGATTGCCGTGGGTGGGGCTTGTTTTCGGTTTACAGCTGGGCACTAAGCATGTCATGTCCTTTGTCTGATCCAAACTTGGTTATCGCTACGTGAAATACCCTAGTTGATTTGTCAGGCCAGTTGATTTTGATGCAGGTCAAGAGTTTATCACAAAGAGGAGTGTAAATTGAAATTATTAAACAAAACACGATGGTTTTGAAAAACAACGCTTCAAAAATCATAAAAAAAGTAAAATAGAAGAAAAACAGAAAAAATGGAGTGACATCTGTACACAGTGTCGTGTTGTTTCTCAAATCTTCTACAGAAATATTCAGCAGAGCAAAGTTTTTCCTTTCAAACTTGTGATCAATAAAAATAGGAATTATTTCACCGTTTGTTCCATGATACGCAATTTCTTTATGCCAAATTGACATAATTAAAACTCAAAATTTAATGGAAAATAATTATAATATTAAGTGATATTTCTTGGTCCTTTTGACAGGCTACTTTCGAACATCGATTATGAATTTTGTTGAATTAAACGGCCTGTGACAAATGCCTTGCTTTGGGCTGACAATGGCGACGACCAGGCCCAAACAGGCCAAGATACTAACTAAGATATTAACATTCCTTTTTCTTACCTTTTTTGCTTCCATGAACAGCAAACACGAAATCACGTGTCTGCGTCCAACAAAGATGAAGTAAAAAATTTGAATTCAAATGTCCTTGAAACAAACTCAAACGATGCGACACATGTGCACTGACTAACGACCGAACGTTCAAATGAAAAAGAATCACTCACCCCAAGTCCTCGAGCTCGTAAAAGATATCAGCATCTTTGTCTTTTATGTAAATTAAACCACGCTCATCTATCCTAACCATGCTTAACTTTCCAGGAAAGGACGTAACGAACAGAGCTTTAAGTGTATCAAGAGAACTGATACTCTTTGGCATATTAACTCGCTTAATCTCGTCTTTGTATTGTAGAAATAACACCCCTGTGAAAGAGATAGGATAAATTAATGAAAGCCTCCGCTTCAGAATTGTGGGTGATATAAAAAATGCATGCTTCTTCTCGACGTCTGTAAAAGATTTGATAAATAAACATATTAGGCCTGGTCATTTGAGGAGCCATCGCTCTTGCTATCCTCCAGGCACGCAACAAATGCTGAAGGGAAGCTACCGATTGCTCTTCTGAATTGCTCTGAAAAGCAAATTGCTCTTCTTGAAATCAATTTTTCCTTTGTTTATATTCTTATGTATCTAGAAATATTTCACTTAGAGATTAGTAGGTGAGCTGTTTACTGCTTTCCTTCCAAAAGTCTTATGGCCAGGCCTGATTTTATGTGACTTGATTGTAAAGCGATAAACAAGAAATAGACTCTATTTTGTGGATTTTGGTTGAGCTTAAGAATTAGAGAATTTACGCTGCATGCAGCAGTTCTGAACAATAAATCTTGAAATATTCAAAGACATAATTACATTGAAGAAGGTTAAAGCTTTGACTTTCAAAGAACATCAATGTGAAACGAAATTTTGGCACATTGGCAAATATTCCTCATATGTCAAATATACCATTTCATTATTCACTCAATTCAAAAGGTTCACAAAATTAGCTAACCATATAATTTGAGGTTCGGGCAAATCAGATGGAGACAGATGCTATACATCAATTAAGCCTGCTGATGGTTTTAATATATCTCTTAAGGAAATTGAAGAAGTTCATTGAACGAAAATTAAAATAAAACAATTGCCAAACAAAAACCTTAGTGCCATCAATACATGAAGTTTGAAAGAGAAATATGAGAAAAAGAGATGACAAGTGACAACAGAGGTTGAGCCATTGCAGACAAAGAAACAGAATGAAGCTCGCAATTAAACCCTTAAAGCACGAAGCTCGTAATTAAACCGCTAATTTTGTATTTCTGGATACAGGATGGATGAAAAGTTAAAAAAAATTACGTCAAGTCCTCCAATACAAAGGAACAATCCTTGAATCAAACTTTTTGTCATGCCTTGGGGATTCAAAGTGTAGAGAGGTTGCCAAATTAAATTTAGTATGGAATTTGACTTAATGAATGGCAGTATGCAAAATAGTCTGAGAAGGAACCATCATTTAGGCAATTCATTAGTTTTGTTGCACTAGAAGAGGCCTAGAAGAAGCACTTTACGGCTTACAAATTGCTGATAAATCGTCGGTCATTGATGCAAACATGACTGCCGATAAACATTCAGAATTCACAGGATTATGAAGAAATTAGTCGTGCGGTAAAGTTTTATGCAAGAATTTTGAAATGACGTTGAGGTGAAGAAGAATAGTGCCAGTTAGAGCTCTTAGATAACAAAATGAACGAAGTGTCATGTGGGGATCGAAGATAGCTACAACAGATACTTCATGGTCAATGCACCAAATTTTCTTTCCAGATCCTCTAATTTTTACAGTATAACACGTGGGTTGATGATGGGATCAAGAAACTCCTACGGGTAGTCCGAAAACGGCGGTCTATCCATGAAACCTGGAGACGTTTCGTATCCAACTAATCCCAAACCGTTAATTCATCATTGACTTTGATTCAGAGGCAACCAGATCCGTAAACAGTATAATGACGAAAGAAGCAAATTTGGATTACACCTGAATCACTGTGATTAACATACAGAGTTCCTGGAGCAGGACAGGACACAAGCTCTTCATATTAATCAGACAGCCTTTTGTGGAAAAAGAGACAATGCCTTTTGATCGAAGGCATGAGTATAAATAGCGACGATACGAACAGCGTTGGGCAAACCAAGTCATGCTTATTCATTACCAAACAAATTTTTTCGTTGGCCATTAAGGTGGAAAGTCTTATGCAGATGCAGATTATTTGAATTCATAGGAGATGATCCAACTATCGAGACAGCTCGGGTTCCGGGCTGAAAAGTCAGCATGTAATCAGCCCTTTGCCTTTATCTAAATTGATTACAGAGGAAATAGTAGAAGCAGAATTAGAAGCGACCATTATCACACTTAGGAAACATTCGACTTAGGAATAAGTCCAGTTAGTCGAATTCACAATCCGCGAACGTTGTGACCAACATCTTCAATGACACAAGTGGCTTTTCACTAAAAAATTTCGTTACGAGCTATGTTCTCTGTAGAAGACTGTATTTCTTCATTGTCTGTCTCTAGTCAAAGAAACATTCATCCGTCCTGCCTCTCATCTGTTTTGAGCGTCTAAAGGCTGACTACAATGTTTATACAAAGCGATAAGAAGGAACAACACGGTTAACACAAAAAATAGATTCTGGCTGACAGATTAACAACTTGGCAACGGAAACAGATCAGTGGTTGACCAGCAGAGCTTCAGTACGAGCTGGTTATAATTTTGCAGCTACCACAAAAGCATCGCGTGGTGCAGGGAAAAAGCAAATGGATAGGTATATTGATTGGGTGAAGGCGAGATATTCGATACGAGGTTCAAAAGCAGTCGTTCAAGTCAGAACGAGGTCACAATATGTTGTTGCGTAGAGTGATCACAGGGCACATTATCACAGAGCCAATTTTTTATTTTTCATCGAATAAGATTATACATGCCTGCAAAAGAGAACAACGGCAGAAAGCTGAGGTCAAAAACATAAGTATTTCAATTAAAAAGTTTGACCACATAACCAGAAAAAATAAAAACATTACTGAATGGATTATTGTTGTATTGGCCTGGTTCATGAGTTTTAGAACCCAAAGGCAAAATTACAAGGATTGGATAGAGACCCAACTTGAAACAGAATTGGCCGATTTTGCATATTCAGAGTCACCTTCCATTGTTTTGTTTCAAATACCGTCCGAATTTGAAAAATAAAAAGCTTCAATGACGTCATCACGCTGCGGCTCTTCTATTTCTCAATGACATATGTTTTTGAATTTCTCAATGAGCCGCAGCAAACGGCAAACGGGATTGACAGATAGCACAAGGTCTAAAAATGGGTTTTCAAGGCAGAGGGCAAGATATGTTTCGAATAGGTTATCAATTGGCATATCAGCGTTTATAACTGATATTGTCATAAACTCTCCAAAATAAAGTGTCCTAGATACCTTTTTCGTTTGAACTGGCGATTTGAAAGACTAGAGTGGCTATGACACCCAACAAATCTGTCACAAAACTAGCAACAGGAATGAATGGCGGCAGTGCGTCAAGTAATGGGTGCAACGACGGCCATTGGGGCTTTTGGACTTGATCGATTGACATCAGCGTTTACAACTGAGGTTTTTTGTCATAAGCCCTCCAAAATAAAGTGTAGCCAAATGATCAAAGCTATAGCCAAATGATCATTGATGGACATCAAATCAAAATTGCCTTAAAATATCTACTTCCCGTTTCTCTAAAAGTGGATTCCTCCCTCAGCGGAAAATTTTTCAGGTACCTCAGATTGTTCTTTGATTATTTCGTGGATAGACTACATGTCTAGAAATCAATCTATTAAAAGAAAAAGCAGCGATTGTTGCATGTCAGTCTGACGGAAATTCATGATTATAAGACGATTAAGTGAGCACTTATAGTTATCACAAGAGAATCAGGAGTAATCCATTTTCAAGTACCTAGCATCCGAAATAGGATCTGGTGCACGGTTTTCGAACGAAAAGCAAATAGCAGCGATTAAGGAGAGCGGAAATCTGTCCTCCCTCCTAGGCAAGAAGGCAAACCTGATCGCTTAGTCTAGGGGATCAAGTAGTGGTTGCCGTATGAGATTAGCTCACGATGGTCTTCAACGACCCGCGTCTTCAACCTGATTGAGATGTGAAAAAATAGTTGCTTCTGAAATAAGATCGCCTTGCAACAGCGCGTATGCGATCTGTTGTATGCGATCTACGCTTTAACAACGGTTTCGACAAACCTTCCATCTACGCTTCGATCAAGAAGATCACGATGGCCTGGAACAAAAATTGAAATAGGTTAACAACACTTTTGCTACTCACTGTCGCGATCGATTACTTCTTGCTTCTGTTGTTGGTGTTGAGAACTGGCTTGGCTCTGACGTTCAGTTACAAGTACTTGCTGCTGACGCTGCAAATTTTCCAGTTCCTTCAGTTCATCCTCGTGAGATTGTTGTTGTTGTGCTTCTATGATATTGTCTTTTTGAGGTTGCTTCACAATTTTTCTCGTTATGACAGTTCGTTGGGTTACAGTCGATTGGTCATGAGGTTCCTCGCCGTACGATGAATATCCACTCATAACTGAGCTACCATCTGAAGCTGTCAATCGAAAAAAAGTAAACAAAAAGGTCCAAATTTCCCTAAAGTGGTAAAGATGCTATGTTATGGTTTAGTGTACAGAAGGCAGGACATGTAAGGACTGTTTCTAGAAAAAAGTTTCAGTTTCTTTAATGACAAGACTGACTAATAACTTAAATAATCTGTGCGCAATTGTCCTGAATTCTAAGAATGAAAGGGGAATTTTGAAAAAAATACTTTGAAACATTCAGTCAGGAAAAAAAAGATTCTAAAATACGAGATTGGAGGGTCCTTTGCGGCAGATATCGAGTTAAAATTTAAGAGAAAGAAAAACTTCTACAATTTAAAGACATTTGTTCAAATAGAAATTTTTAACTTCATACAGTTATTAATAGCACCAAACGTTTGATGGAAAATGCGGTTTTCTACAGAAACTCCTTAAAACCTCTTTCATCTTTAAGTAAATTTTTTTCAAATAAAAATTTGTAATAAAATACGCAATTAATTTTCTGGACGACTTTGCAGATTGCGAAAAGTTGAGCAAATTTCTGCTGTTAAGCTTAATCCTCAGACGAGCATTTCCACACAAGGAACAAAGGATCAATTATTATTAAAACAAAGCAAACAAAATATCAATAAGAAAGGTCATCAACTTGCTTTTACAAAAAGACATTAGCTTACAAAACGTTTTCAGGTTTACCTTTCCTAGTTCGCCCAAACTGCTTCACCTTTGTGGTCCTTATGACTTGATTTGTTGTTTTTTCATTTCTCGTTGATGCTATAGGGTTCAAGCTCTCCTGTGACGTCTGAGAGCTTTCTTGGCTGCTCGTGCTGCTCCTTCGCACGTGTCCATTAACCCCACCTGACGTTTTGTATGTTAATATGGTGTGCGACTTTTTCCGCTTTGCGGTGCCATTTTCGACAAGATTTCGGTGCTCGACTTCATCTACCGCTCCCTTCTAGAGAAAGCCAAAAATGATTATTGAACCTTGGTTCATTAAATAGCCATGAAAGAAACCAGTCTTAATCTGGTCATATTGACTTGAACAACGGCAAAAATATTTATCAATGAACTACTCTTTAGTTGATTAAGGTGAAACCTAAGATAAAGTACGGTTTCAAGGGACTCTTTGCCTTCTAAAAATTAGCAAATGATACATTCAAAGTTGCAAAACAGATACTAATTTTTGAACTGTAACCCAATATAAATATGTTTAAAATGAAATAAAATAAAATGAAATGTATCACCTTACGATTATCTGATAGAAAAAACTTCACTGCGTTTCTGGGCCTTTCAAAATGGTCTATATTTATTATCACGTGCACCTGAGTATACTTAATTGACCGGCTAACTTGTGATTGTTTACATATGGCCTCAGTTGATATGACAAGTTACCTGTTGGCTCTCACGACGGAGATGACTGTTTTCAAACAACGTAATTTCAATCTCAAAATATCAAATTTTCCCATGGTGGAGTCCTTTACCGAAAAGGCAACATCAAGAACATGAGTTACAGCCTTCACCGATCTCTGAACCGTTTTAAGAGTTTCAATCTTTAAGCTGCTCACATTTTTCCCCGACAAGAAAAAACACCTTCCTCGCATGAACGAAGGATTCAAAGCAAGGATCTTTAAGTTAAAACTGGTATTTAATTAATGCAAGTTTCGAATAAACACAGATTGTGAAAGGTTTGCTTCTAGGATCATACTTTCAACTCAGAAAGCGCCTCTTACCCTCAAATGAACAAAACGATGAAATTCGTCAAGAGTCAAAATTGTTTTTCCTTTGACTTTACCATGCCTGAAGCTGTACTTTTTCGATGCCCGTGAAGGTAAAGTAATTGCATTAAGCAGCAATATTAAGGTTCTTTCTAATCTTTATGTTAACTTTTATGTATAATAAAATAACACTAACTTAGACGCTGGAAATATAAAGGAAGGGACACACTTGTAACTGCTTAGAAATTGAAAAAAGATAAATATTCTATGGTCTAAAAAGTCCTATGATTGGAAGACGAACCTTTTTAAGCGATCGATACTTCTCAATATCATCACCATATCTAGTCTTCAATAATGAAACAAGTTGTTTCCTGTTCAATGTTCCTAAGCTGCTTTCATGAGCCGTTGAATCGATATCAGGGTCGTTTGCAATCATCTGTCTTGCTTTCTCAATGGCATCCCTTTGCTGCGGTCCTCCTGTCGTATGTCGTCTTGGTCGACGTGCTTTAGCAGTTTGAAACTGGCTCGGATCCTCTTCGTGGTATTTCACTCGATGGTCATCTAAAACAAAATATTTCAGAGTTTACAAAACAATGATCAATGAATCTTGGAATTGCTAACAGGATACGGGCAAAGACAGAACGTTGGCCTACACAAGACGTCCATTCTCTAATCTAAGAGACTCTGTACCGGTCTTTATTATGAAACTGGACATCATAAGGACACTTTGTTTATTAAATGTTAACGGAATCTTTCATTATTTCATCTTACTCATTCCAACCATAAAGTAACAGAAATTGAAAAGAAACAGCACAAATCTTGAGATGAATTGTGCTCTCTGTCGGTAGTATAGTACAATCGGCAAGCGATGTAGCTATTGCGTTTACA